ATCCATCCATCCACCCATCCATCCATTTATCCATCCATCCATCCATCATCCATCATCCATCCATCCATCATCCATCATCCATCATCCATCCATCCATCCATCCATCCATCCACCCATCATCCCTCCGAGGTGGAAGCAAAGATTAAATATGCACTGTCCAACTATTTTTCATTCATTTCTCACTAAAGTTTAATCAGCTTGATAGCTGTGCAGTATTAGACATCTCTTAGACATTTAAAGAGCAGAAAGTTACTCAGCAGTTAAACAAAGATGTAAGGATCCTTTAAAGGCCAGGAGAAGACCTGCTTTCCTCTCACACTCCTGAGATCAGCAAACATCCTGAGCAGCAGACCCTCAGCGCTGGCAGTGGGTGAACGTTCACATTAATACAGAGTTTTACAAACTGCCTGTGTTTTATCATTTTCCAATGATAAAAAGTAGATTTTCTGTGTATCTGCTGTCTAAAAGGTTAAATTCAGCATCACAAAAGTGTCAATGAAGCCAGAAGTGCTGAGCTCACAGTGACTGTTCTACATTTCAAGGAGAAAACAGTTAAAAATCCAGAATCTGGATTTTGTTAAATAGTCTTCATAAGATTTTGGTTTTGCACTGCGCGTACAGCTAACACTCTCCACAGGCGAGTTTGTGTCACAGCCCTCTTCTCTCTGCAGCTCAGAGCTCCTGCTCCCCCAGTAAGAGTCAGTACACCAGTTCCACCAGTGAGGCGGTCCCTCCCCCGACCCTGTCGCAGAACCGCTCCTTCTCTCTGCCTCCGGGCCACGCCGTCTGCTGCTTCATGGACGGAGGCGTGGGGCTCTACGACATGGGAGCCAAGAAGTGGGACTTCCTGCGAGACTTGGTATTCTTTGTCATCCTCACACGTGAGTGACAAAAAAGGAGCTTCAGCTCACCGTGTCGCGTCTTCCTCAGGGTCACGTAGAAACCATCTTCGACTGCAAATTTAAGCCCGATGATCCCAACCTGCTCGCCACGGCCAGCTTCGATGGAACCATCAAGATCTGGGACACAAACACTCTGACAGCTGTTTACACCTCGCCCGGAAACGAAGGAGTGGTCTACTCCCTGTCCTGGGCTCCGGGTAGGCTAGCTGCACGCATGCACACAACACACGCATGCATGCACACACACAAACACACACACGTAACTGTGTGAAACCTCAGGAGGGACCCGGTGAGGCTGTTCTCAGCTTTATTAGCTTGTTGTAGATATAATTCAAGATTCAAGAGCTTTATTGTCAGTACAACAGCATGCACAGTATGCAGCGTACTGAAATGCTGTTTCACTCCAAGCCTCCCGTGGTGCATTTATAAGTATATAAAAGATGTATCTCCAAAAGATATAAAACTAGGAATTACAAATAAACAACATGTTGTTTTTGTGTTACACATCAGTCGATACATGATCGACACTTCATGAGTGCAGATGTTTAAAAATAATAATTTAGAAAAACCTTACAGGTGCAGTCAGTCATTTTCTGAGGTTATAGTTCTTGTAGATTTGCTTTGAACAGTGTGTAATGACGTCTTCTGATAATCTGATGTGTTCTCATAAACTCATAATTCATGTATTAAAAATAAGGAGTGGGTTTGCAGTTTGTAGAAGGCGCCACGTTCCCCCAACATTTCCTTTGTGGATAAGGACGTGTTCCTCGTACACGGCTGCAGAGCGGCTGTAGCACGCAAAGGCGGAGGAGAAGTCGTCGGCGTTCTCGTGCAGCGGAGAGACATTTAGATCTGTCTGCTCGCCTCATCTACTGAACTGAAGTCACCTGGAAACGTGAAGAAAGAAGAGCAAACACAGAGAAACAGCTCATCGTCTCAGACTCCCTCTTTAT